TTAAAGTGTGCTGTAATATAGAAGACCATGTATGGATAAATAAAAGAAAATTAGTTAATTTAACAACTGATTTATTTCTTTACAAATTAAGAAAATGGATAATTGTTCACACTACTGTTCAAAAAGTCGCGATTATATCAAATGAACTAAGAAAATAAATTATAGAAAACAAAATAATAAAAGATAATAATAACTTGCATTGCCGTTAATGTAAAAAACATAAATAGTATTTATTATATTTTAAATTTTGACGTTTCAGACAGTAGTGATAAATACCCGTTTTTTAAGTACATGTTTCAGGTTTCCTACCCTTCCTACTGAACAATTTTAAAATCTTAATTTTTTCTAGAAGATCCACACAAATCAATTTACGCGTGGAATGAATAAACAGTGTGAAAATAAGTATAGATTAATCTCGTTACTACGATATTGCTCTTTATTAATTTTATAATATATTGATATTTATTTTATTTAATATCTATTTCGTGGGAATTATGAAACGTTTTCTAGAAAGCTCGTTTTGTGGACGAAGGTTGGTTTAGCGACAGATATGAATACAGTATCACAAGGTTGTTGACAATTTAGGAGCACAGGTCTTCGATTTTCATATTATGTGAGTTTCCTCAATAAAACAATATGAAATAAAAAATATCGCTACTTTTTAAGTATACTGGCCCAAATCAAAATAGTTATTACACAGCTTCATTCACGTGCTAATTTTAACTAAGACACTGACCTTTTCGTAAGTAAATAATCACGTGACGACATTGAATAGGTTCACAATTAGTCGACCTGGTGCGTCAGATACGCTTCTGTTTTTTTTAAAAATCCTATTCGGGATGAATTAGGTGCTTTTGAGACAGGCCAATAATCTAGAAAAAGCATCGAATTAAGGAACGTGTCTTACACCGTGGCAATACACAGAGTATAAGTAATATATTGTACCTGTAAAGCGTAAGTTCGTAGTATAAAAAATGCAACTCTTTAAGACAATCGAAAGTTCTGACGATCATACACTTCTGAGGTACAATATATTTTAAATAAAATTTGAAAATATATTTTATACTGATATGGCAAAATGGTCCAATAAAGGGCAAGATTCGAAATGGCAAGGTTATTAGGAAATATATAACATTTTAAAAACATATTAGAGCGGTTACACACGGCAACTTTTAGCAGCGATGCAAGTGCGATGCAAATGCGACGCAAACGCGATACAAACGCGATGCAGTAGGTAATCGTCTACCTTTACACACACGCGCGATTTTAAGCAGCGATGCAAACGCGCGACTGCGTCGACACAAACGCGCGATTGCAACGACACAAATGCGCGATAGCATGGTTACACTTGTGATTTATAAACGATTTTGCATTGATGCAAACGTTTGTATCGAAGTAATCGCGCGTTTGCATCGATACAATCGCCTATGAATCGCAGTGTAGCAATGCAGTCGCGCGTTTCACGGACGCGCGTTTGCTACAAGTTGCTGTGTGTTAACTCACCAAAACCACTCTTAATGGTGTCAATTTGAACTCTACTTAAAAATACAGTTATAACTTATACAATTTTTCTATACAAATTTCCAAAGTGATGTTACAAGATTACAAGCACCTGTTTATACAACATAACACTTTTTGTGCAAATATCTGTATGAATCGTAATGTCATTCAATATGCCACAGGTTAAGTTTTCATGTGCACATAAAGATTAAAAAATACAATAATAAAATTTTGACAAAGTATGTTACTAAGGCAAGACTCATCACGAGGAACTCCGATGTTACCTTTCTGCTATGTCTGGATCTTATTATTACGAAAAATACTTCGGTTTTTTATGGCTGCCAATAATAGTAAGAAATTGATGGAGTCTAACATAACGTAATAATCATAAATCTGAACACGCTGAGTATATTTACCTAAACTTCAAGGAAGGAATACATGTAGAGCGGTTACCTAATATCTCCCTCTGAAATCCTGGAAATATTGTAATATATATTGTTCTATAATTTTGATGTGTAACATTCCTACGACAGAGTATTTACAACAAAAACGTTGTAACTGTAAGTCAGTATTACATTATTGTATATGCACTCCGGAGGCATTATGGTCTGTACATGCAGTTTTTTAAATTTAAGTAAATCTCTGGTGATCACCCTTTTCATTATCCGATATAACTAAATTTTAACAAACACTAGCGACCTTGATTGTTATTAATTGATGATAGAATGTTACAGTACCATCCACCTTATCTGAAGGTATCAGAGTCTAATACTATCATAGGGAAGTTGTCTTTTAAATGGTAATAAGTTAAGTGTGAGAACCCAGACTAGAAACAGGCAAGATACATTTCTACTACAAGTCACAACCAAAGTAACAACACAAGGAATGACATTAAATACATAGGTACAATTTTTATTAAAAATACTTAAAATTCACAGGTTTCCGAAACTATCTGTTAACAATTTATTACACGGCTGTTCGGCTTTTTTTATAGAAGCGCTGTAGTGGCACCGCCGTCGCGCTGTAGTGGCACCGCTGTCGCGCTGCAATCGCGCCACTACTAATTTTCATACAATATTTAGAAGCGCAGTTGCAGCGCCACTATAGTAGCACGCGATCACCACTTGTGCAGTCACTTTTAGTGAACTAAAATTACTGAAGTGCTACAGGTGCGCGGCTGCCGCGCCAATGTCGCGCCATTGCAATGCTTCTACAAGCGTTCAATTTGAAGGCGCCCTTTAGAATACAATAATAGTATCACAAAATGATTGAAAAATGGACTTTTAAAAAATAATACTGTATGAAAACTTGGAATGTTCTTATTGTTTTTTTTATAAGGCCATCTGGTATCGCTTTCAATTTTTTGTGTATAAATATAAATTGTTTAAATAAAAATCTTACGACAATTACATTGTGATTCTATAGTTACCTTTATAAATATGTTGTAAGTACTTTTTAAGTACCACTGATATAATCATTCTACACAATATTTATACTGTTTTATACGAAACCTTAAACGATGTTGAAATAACGGAAATGGTGATGATAGTGTAAAACAATAAATAAATAAATTTATTCAAAATGTACGTAATGTGACTTATGCACTTTTACTTTCAACGTCAAGATTCGTATAAAACACGGCATAAAGGCTACGCTAATGACTAAGATATGGACGAATGAAATTCCTACTGGATGGGTACTAAACACGTCTACGTATAGCATTAAAAACTTTCAAAAGCTAACGGTAGCGCTTGATTGGTAATCGAAATAGCTGCCGAATTGCTAAAAAATACCACAGACAGTGAACACTGCATTACGTTTGCAAATAACTAAAGAGTGTGGTATTGGATATGTTTCTCTCTATCTAAAATTTGCGTATATAAAATTACATTAATTTTTTATTTCTTCTGTGGTATACATATTTATTTAAGTTATATGTGTTTGTTTGCTATTCTGCCGTCCTTGTCATAATTAACGCAATTGCATACCGGTAACTTTGTCTCTAAAACTAAAAATGTCAATTACTCGCTGAATTTGCTGAAATTAAATAATGTATTAAACCGATTAGTTGAGAGGGTGTTGTAGATCTCGTTTGGCTGATCGCAGATTGCAGATTTTCAGACTCAATTTCGATAAAAATGTCGATTGCATTTAGTCATGATAAGGAGGGCAGTCAATTGTCATTAGAAGAACCTAGGCTGTTGAAAATATGTCAAAAATGTACGTTGTGACTGTAGTCTTTTTTTGCGAATTATTCTTTATTATTCTCATATAAAACATAATCAGTTGATCGGAAAATTTATATAAAAAGTTGAGTTTTGTACATATTATGGTTCCTGATAGGCTTACTATTTTTAACACCATTTAACAGAATTTATTACTTTTAATGTTGTTATTTTAATAATTTTAAGACTCTGAATAAACTGTCTGCTTTCAATACCACACTCTACATGTACTAAGTTAATAAGATATAGAACTTTTAGAAGTACTCAAAATATTGTACAATACTCCAAAACATTATAAGATATATCTACCAAGGTACATATGCATTGTATAAATGCGGAATATATACTAATAATAGTAAATAAATGCGAAATGGAAGTTAAAACTGTTTGGGGCTTGAACAAAATTGTAAAAAAGGTTGGCACAAATATTGAGTATTTAGCTTTTAAATGAGGAATAACAATGCAAAGGCCCAAAATGGGGTTCAATCCTAATTTGGGGTTGTTTAAATACTATAATTATTCGAAACACAGCGCGTTTTATATGTAAGAAACGTCGCATACGGTTTAGTACACTTTGCTTTCTTTATGCCACCTATTACCTCACGTTCACTATCAACTATTGTGGGGTAGCCTCAAACAAAGACAATGATGAGAAATGGAAAACCATCCACTAATGTACAGTTTCCGAAATTCTTCAAGAATACTTTTTCTACGATTCAAAAGTTAATTCATTGTGTAAACGTTTTGCTGTCCGTCACAATCTGTATAAAAATGTACAGGATATTGCATACGTCGTTTCTTGAATATAAATAGCGCTCTACAAAACTTATGCCGTGGCCCCCTGAATAAGTCAACAATCAGCTGTTATTTTTGCAATAGAAAAGCTCAAAAACAATCACATTCTTAGTGTGTAGTCACAGCTCTATCGCGACTACTGACAGCTGGAAACGGACTTCATTAGCAGTTGGCAGTCGAGACGCAGTCATAATGACTACAGATATGTGACTATGCACTTATTACGAAATCTGTTTATGAAATAGCAAGATATAAACAAGAAACTACTTGAATTTACTCGCTACAAATACACTCCCGCACAAATAATTCGAGCTACCTTCATTTTTATTTTTAAAGTATAAAAATATTGTCGTACAGAAAGTTTTACAAATTAAAATTTTTAACAAGACTTACAGAAATGACGTTTAGTATACCAGTTTTAAAAATTGTTTAGCAGTTGTTGTAATTGATCAATCAAACATTGTTTAAAGTAAGGGGCATTTGATACTGAAAAACTGTCTCGAATAAGCATCCGGGAATGTATTATTAAGTAATATATAAATGCCTCCCCTCACGATGTACCTTTACTCAACATCTGGCGCACCCAGAGTAAAATTTAGCTCAATCTGAATATAGCTGAACAAGCCAAAAAAAAATACGAGTTTCGACCATTATTCTTGAAAAGCAGGGATATGTAGTAAAAGCGAATTAAGTTAGTTCATAGTTAAAAAATAGGCACCACAAAATTTACGACCCGCTTAAGTAAGAAAAAAAAATTAGGTGGTAAGAAATACAAACTTTACATTTCATAAACAGATATCAATAATATCCTATTCATTTCTAATCGTACCTACACACAAATCCAGTCTTCTATTATCAAACGAAATAAAGTTTTAAACTGACTCTTAGTAGCACGAATTACGTATCAATTTTAATTAATTAGTTAATAACTTTAATAGCAACAAGTACGTTAATTTTTAAGAGTTCAACATGAATACTTGTCTTAACTTTCAATGATTATGCGAATATTTTTATGCATGTATTAATACATTAATTCAGTAGGTCAATCGTTGACAAAAATATGTCTATGCCATTACATATTATCGTCTCTCGTATCCCAATAGGGTATTTGACAGGAATAAAAAATTAATTATTTATCAGCATTATAAAATAGGCAAAAAGGCTATGGATAAATTTGACAACAGAAACGATATTTGCTAAAAAATAAAATAGTTACTTTAAGAAATCACGAGTTGGAAAGAAACGGCAACACATGTGTAGCATCATGACGTAATGATGCCACACAAATTCCATACTAATGGTTATAAAAGTACAAAACATCCCAGCACTACTAACTTTAACCATTAATAGCTCTGGTGTTTACTTGAGATATCGAAAAACGAATTTCAGACTTGTATTCAGCATGTTCGTGTGAGTAGATTGAAGTTTTAAAAAAATTGTAGACAAGCATTAGCATTTTTACTTTTCATGAACTTAGCCGTATAACCTCACTACAATTAAATATTACACTATTATAATTATTAATACAAAAATCGAACACAAAGAAAAATTCCTTCGACTTGACAGAACTTGAACCTGCGACCACGCTAGCCGTAACGTGCTCTGCCAACTGAGCTACAGGTCGAATCAGCAGATCGACGAAAGTCTTCTATGTGTCTGTTCTAGTTCTTTGTATAGGTTTTTTTCGGCTTTCGACGCCGCCATCTTTGTGTTGATAACTATACCAAACTAGTCGAGTTATTTCACAAAAAATATATGAATATCTAAGTGGCAAAACACCATGAAATTCAATGAAAATCAATTTCCATCGCCGTGTGGTACCTTACGGGTACCTCATTGTTTCACGTCTTAGATTATGAGTCAAATACCCTATTGTTCCATAAGATTTAAAAGAGGTAACGTAACTTTTTGGATACTATTGAATCACCTTCAAAAATGTGTGTAAAAGATAAGAAAATCTCTGTATAATGCTTTGTAATAGAAGGTAAACGCATTTATTGCCGTATTGTGGTCCGTTTAAGAAACAAACTTAGTTTTAAGGCAACTGCTTAAAGTACAATTTCTCTACTAACAAGCGCTACACACCGAGCGTAACTCAAAAAGGTTCCCCACACAAATTCGACTGTGGTATCAATTTTTGAATGATAATTGCGCCGTGCTCGACGTGTGTAGCCTTATTGATTTTATAATACATTTTCTAGATACTTCTGTAAAGAATATAATATCAATATACCTAAATTTAATATTTATAATAATTTATTATATTCCAAATTTTTTTTAATAACTTGCATTTTATTCTCTCGATTGTATTATGCTATGTCTCATAATAAGCATAATAAATAAATCCAACTTTAAGAGGCACTTCGATCAATTCTCTAGTTTGAAACCTTATTTAATGGTTCATAATACTTATCCACAATGATGTTGTACATTATTATGCTGTTCAATTATATATAACAAAAATACTGTCAATTTAGTATCCAATAACAACAGCTCTATAAATTATTAAAAATATATATACAGTATAATCAAAATGGAATGACAAATGACGACGAATGGAATGCAAAAATGTTAAGACGATATAAACTTGTATAACACCCTAATATACATAAAATTTTCAATATAGGATTTGATTCTACGACTACTTAAATACAGTATTACTTCGTGAAGTCCAAACTTCGAGGCTAATAAGTTTCACGGAAGTTGATGATTGTGTGTTAACCTATTTCATTAATATAACTTTCACGCTCATCAGTTAAGGCTGTAATCAAAAATGTACTTTAACTGTGTACACATAATGTTAATATTACGTTAAGGTTATGTAGCTATATTCTTATTCGAATTAACGGATGTTTTTTCATGAAAACATGTACGTGTCGATATTAGAAAGTCACAAACACTAATTTTGATTTAATCCTTACCTGTTCATATATAAGGTTAAATTTGAAGTGTCGTTTCACGGTTTAATAAGTTTCTCAATGATATTTGTCTTCATTTGTTTCCGCAAAATTCGAATGACCTTGAAGCTTAGACTTTCAATAATAGTACTGTACACCTTACCTCTAGAAAACTGTTGAGCTCTCAGCAAATCACACTTGTTACGCGGTAGCAAGCCGTTGCTGCACAAGGAAGCGATGGCAATGGCAGCGTCCATCGACAACACTTTTTACAAAATTTCTAAAAATAGCTAGGACCGCCTTTTGCATGCACTTTATGGACTTTAGCAAGCATTTACGAAGATTCACGTCTTCGAGGTCATTAAATTATTGCATTGTACATAAGTGAGAAAATAGTAGAAAAAAACAGTAGCTGCTTTGACAAATGGCAGTCGCCTAGCTATATTTTGTAGACAAATCAGACTTGTACGCTCACTTTTGTTCAATCCTTTGATCCCTCAGGATGACACCCAAAACAGTCATTCAAAAGTTCTACATTATTATACAGCACCTATGTGATGATCTTGTGTCGCCGACGACGTCACTGGTGTTCCCAGAAAATCTTGGGACCTTCCCCGAACTGGGTGACAGTGTTAAGGGGTTAAGTTGAACCGGCATGTCTTTTGACACTTCTGGAATTGAGTTCAGGCTGTGATTATTGGTGGAAGTCAGGCTGCTTTCCACTGGGCTCCCGTTTGTTCGAATCTGGGCTCTTTGTTTCTTCAAATCGGCCAATGTTCCTGGAAAATTCGAATAAGAGATTAGAGTCGTAAATTTTTGCCCTGGTATCTACAGAAGCAGCGAGTAGCAAGACTATTTTGTTGGAATTTCAACAGTTTACGATACAACAATAGAGGAACGGTTTCCTCTTCCTACAATTCACTACACTAAAAATGGTTTATAAAAGTTTGCGGAAGTATATAACACTATTATATACTTTAATGTTGCAAAAGTCCAACAAATTTAATTATGATAAATTAACTACTAAACAAGCATAATTAAATACTACCAAATGTTGAGCTCAAAAGAAATGTAGAGCGTCACTTTCACATTTGTTAGTAAATGTTATGCCTATCTTCATTGCCATGAATTTATGAAAGTAAACTAGCGAAAAACAATTTCGTCATTAGCTGAATTATGCAAGTACACTATTAACAAAAGGCCTAGAAAAGGAAATGAATAATTGGTGTAATTGAAACATTAAACATAAATACAGCAGAATAAACAGTGCATTAAAGATTCATGCATGAACATATTTCCTATAGTAAACAAATAATCATAGAACAAAATCGCAGAGAAAAAAAAAGGGAAGAAGAAGCCATGGATCAGACATCACATGCAACTACGAGACGGCTTGCCTCAATATGCATCCTCGAGATCAGTTTCTGGAAACCGGCTCACAGTCCCAACTTCAATAATTTAATAACCATCACTGTGCAAAACTGTTAGATTGAAGATTTATTATACGGAAAATGTTATAACATTGTGCTAATAGTACTGTGCTTTAACGATTCGTAAGGATGCATATAATTACCTGCATTAATCATGACGGTCACATGAACATTGATTTTACCATTATTGTCGGTGGTGTACGTGGCCGTTCCCGTGCCGGTCTCGGTAAGGTTGATCTGATTTGAGTTCACTATAACATCGTCCCTACCGTCTAGAGCGTCTTCGGGCTTGAAGGCGTCGTTGTCTTGTCCTTCTGGCGCTTTGCGTATGCCATTGGGTAGAGGCCTATCGTATTTGTGTTGTTCATTAATAGCTTCTTGTTGGGAGCCTGGTGTGTAGTGGGAGGCGGCGTTCACGCCGAATAGAGGGTTGGTTATCTTTGGCGGGATGTAGGCGTTTTTGTCATTTTCGTTGGCATCGCCTGTCCTTGCACGTTGGTTGTACGCGTGTTTAGGCACTGCGTAGTCGACGTTTGAGGATTCGTAGCTTTGGTTAGAAGTGGTTGAGCTTGTTGATAATCGCTTGTGTGACAGATCGCCGGGGGGCAGGTTCGCCGTATTCTGGTCGTTTTCAACACCATTTGTAAGGCCCTGGAAACAAAAGTTGATAGTTTGCAATCTATACAATCATTTTATACTAACTTAATGCTGAAAATCCCTTTAACAGCCTATTGTATAGTAAACAGTCTGAAGTAAAGTGTGAAATGTCAAGTCATCGAAATTATTTAAATTCTTTATATCGAGTTCTTAGCTTTTAGCGATGGTTACACATAGGAAATTAAACTTTTTTTTTTTAATATAAATCGCGTACGTATTTGTTTATTTCAAACAAACCAACGTTTCGGGCCCTTTACAGACTGATGAGTCGGTCGTGACCATGGGACCTGTAAAGGGCTAGAAACAATGGTTTGTTTCAACAGCAAATATATGTAGATACGAAAAAATAGATTAATATCCTATATTCTTTATATTTTTGAAATCCATTCCTGATCTTCAAAAATTTAAACACATTTTGACGTTTCACACAGGCTCGTATAAATTGGCCAAGTGAATTTAGAAGCTGTGTTTATTTTATAGTAAGTAAGTATATCGTACATGAAACCAAATAGGTACTGTCGTAACTCAAAAATGATGGCATAGAGAAAACACCATTTATAATTTTTAAAAAATACTGAAAGAATCTTACTGCAAATAACGTGATTATTTATAAACGAAACATAATCATATTTATTGGTTTCATTCAGTATTTTTGTGAACTAAAAGAATGAATTATAGCGAATAATGGGATTATTGTTATTTGTACATAATAATTATTTATTCACTTATAAACGAGAATATAAATTTATTGGTTCCATTCAGTAATTTTTTGAACTTTCAAATCGTGTTTTCTAATCCCATAATTTTAGAGTTACGTACGTACGTAAGTACGTTAGTTTTATGTACGGTATTTATAACAGAATTTTAAAGTCTTTGAAGTCAGGTATCTGTCGGGTTGGCACGATATTACTATTCTCCCTTACAGATCTCGCACTAATGCCGCTTTTGCGCTAGTCGCGCACTGTCGTGCTAGCCCTACTGATCTGATATATTACCAAACGGGATCAACTGCAGTGTAATGTCTTGCCGACACACAAGAATTATTAAAATTGCAACTCGTTTACCTTATGTGGGATGAAAAAAAAAATATAAATAAACTAAAACCTTTATGTAGTCGGTTATAAACAATGCGGTCTATTAAAACATTCCTGATTTGTGACAAATGCACTTGACCAATGGAAGACGACATTACCAATATACAAGGCGTCTAAGTATCGATTCTACCGCTCAAATAGAAAACATTTTGATATACAACTTTTAAAAAAATCTTGAAAAACACTATCTCCATACATATTAAGAGAAAAAAGACAAAAAAACTTGAGAAAGTATTCACAAAAGCCGTTTCAAAAGTCGAACACAAATTGTTACTATATATACTATTTGAATAGTGAAATCGAAAGGTGCCTTAAAAGCTCCATGTTCTTAGATACCATGCATAAATATCTAAAACAAGATAAAGAAACATTTAAAAAACCAAGTATACATTATAATCCTTGCCTACATACTATATAACTACGGCATTAGATTACATAAAAAATAAATAACTTAGCGTACCAGTGATATATCAACTCAATGTAGCAAACTAACGCTTATCTAAGTTTATTTTATAATGATCTACATGTAAGAAGTCGAAAAAAAATTGACATATAATATATAATTTATTATACTGAGCACATCAAATTTGACACTGATCACATCAAACTAAACATGTTCAGCAAATTCTTTACACCTCTTTTGTACTAAAACCGATTGCCAAGCTTTATGTGCTCTTCTACTGTATATAAACATAAATTATACACATATACGTTAAGAGATGCATATACTAGAACAAAATCTGATGTCAAATTATATATAAAATGAGTCACATAATTATATATTCCGTCGTTTATCTGGATAACACTCCGCACCTACTATTTCATTAACGAACATACCCTATAACGGAGCCCTAAGACAAGCGGTTCCTTGCGCATTTTTCGCAAGTTGTCATTAGTCAAAAACATTATATCCAGTGACATTGTCAAACACACACACTGTACATCATCACTGAAATCCTTGGGAACAATTCGTAAACACTTTATGAAGTCACCATAAAGGAAGAGTTGAGGAGAGGTGCTTGTTATCAAAATGCATTGCAGAGAAGTGTGGACGGTATCGCAGTGCGTGCCCGCGCACTGACCGCACGGACTGAGGCGCCGCGCGCGCCGGCCAGCGACGAGCGGCAAGCCACAGCCGTAGCAACGGGAGAACAGTACTTCATCTCCGTACAACCATAACTACTTTGCACTCCTACAATCAATCAGGCACGATACATAATCTCTAAACATTTAAGCGTGAAACACACATAGAGCTGGTGCGGGTCGGGTGCGTGTCGGGTCGGGACAGCGGCGGATCCAATTACGTGTATTTATATCATAGTTTCCCAAAGTGGTGCCTACCAGTGGGCGCTAAAGAATCCCAGGGTTGGACCCTTGGAAGCAATTGGGGGGGCGTTGATGCTACCGCATTTGAAAGAAAGCCTTAACTATATATATATAAGCTACACTACATATATGTCATTTTATTTCTTTGTTATTATTTTGTGTCAAGTTAATACAAAAAGTACGTGTTCCCAATTATTTTTTGTGGTGGTGAGCGTTGAAATTTTTTTATCATGCCTAATTGGGCGTTGAGTAAAAAATTTGGGGACCTTTGATTTATATGGATCACATAATTAGACCCGCCGCGGTCCCGACCCGACTCGCTCCGGACCCGCACCCGCTCTCTGTGTTTTTCAACGCTCTATTGTCCAGGCGAGCAAGCGTAAATGTCGTTTCGAAGCATTTATGTCATGTTGTAATACTGTTCTCTTGTTACTATAGCATACTCGACAGGGGGAAATCGCATGAAAACTCGCCGCGACGTGTCGTCAATAAATGCGACCACCGGAACGGGATGCCACTCGCCTTGAGACCATGATAAAAGCAATTGAAACTGATGTGCAATGAAGAGCAGAGTTTTTCATGCGGTCTTCGGTTTCACTCCGATCTCAGGAATTGGTTTACATTGTGTTTCCTCTAAGACCATTTAAGCAACAATATTAACGTGACGACTATTATCAACGTTATATTGTATGAAACAAATGAGAAAGTGAAAATATGAAACTACATGTATATAAAGCCAAAATTGCCTAATAATAACTACCTAATGGGACATCTTGATTTCCGTACATCCTACCAGGCAATAACAGTTCTTTGATGAACAAAGACCACTCTAGAAAAAGGAGGATTGGTTACAATAACGTACGTATATTATGTAGACACTGTAAAATAGAACAAAGCCAACGAAGTAAGTAGACTTTAGTAGGTAAAAGATGAGAGCGCGGATCGACAATCAATCGCTCTGATAACCAATGAAGACGTAGTAGGGGAGCGTCACTGTCTTATGCTGGCTTGTCACGATATCTTTATGTGCATCTTGATGGTGCTAAGATAATATGTACATTCATAAACGAACCTTAGACGAATTGTGATAAAGATCATAAGTTGAATACAAATTCACACACCTTTTTCGTCAGGGGTTTAACATAATATTACCAAGGGAATAGTTTTTTCAGTTTATTAGTTTCAGTTTTCAACTTGGACTAATACATGTGTTTTTTTTTAAGTTGTTTGAGTGCCATTATGTTTGACCACCATGATATTCAATTATTTTTGTGTAATTACTCCACTAGTCTGTTATAATTATTAATACAAAGATCGAACACTTACAAAAAATTCCTTCGATCCGGCTGTATTCGAACCAACGTCTTCCAGCAAGCCGTGGCAGACGCTATGCCAACTAAGCCACGAAACGAACAAGCGGACCTTACGAATTTATGTGCTTGTTGCAGAGCTTTGTCTCTGATTTTTAACGACTTTTAGTCGTATCTGTGAGAAATCCGGCCGTGTGGCCAGTGGTTTATACCAGAACGTTTAATGGAAATCAAAATACCATTGAAGTAGTTCTTTTTTCAAATGAAATGTTTTACTATTTATGGCCAGTCAGTAGTTCATTATGAACATTGGTTATCATAGTTCACCCTTTTTTAGCGTTCGTCTAAATATATCCATGAGTGTATTTAGAAGTTAAATGTTCGATAAATATGTTCTAGCTGTATATTTTACAAAAAGGTAAAAAGTCATATATTAATGGCAAGTCAGGAAGATAACTATTAGGTAATAAAAACATTTCAACATTGTTCCGTTACGTCAAAACAAAAGATAATGTTACTAATATTCTGACGTTAAAGAAAATAATCTAAAGCAGCGACTAGCTCATAATCCCACGAATTAATTATCGAGCTCGTCACTTATGTGCGGAACAAATAGGAAACGACGTTTTTTTGTCATCGTAATTTCAAATCGGCAGCCGATGTATTTGCAACCATAATGATGTACACATAAAAACACTAATGAATTATAAATTTTTTTAGTTATTTCGTTCATGCGGAAAAGGGGAAAACGTTTAGTGAGAGTAGTAGATAATTGGCTCTTCGTTTACGTAAAGAAAAACCTGACTCCGAGGGTGGCGTTCGTTGTTTTCCGTTCGAAATCTATGATTACTCAGATGCAGATCAAATAACGGATCGGTCTTACAATTTATAATAGCTAAAAAAGTTATTAAGAAGCAAACCTTAAGCCCTAACTTATTTTACATAAGGTCACGTGGGGTATGAGGAACACCGGGGGAGAGGGAGTTGAAGCCTCTATAGCACTATAGTATCTCAAGTGACAAACAAACGAATGTAAACGATTTTAAAGATATGTCGCTACGATGCTCCAAATTCAAAAGGCAGAAAACCAAATATGATAGCTGTGAAATCTTAAGAACATAAGATATAAATCACCTTTATAAGAAATACGATGACTATTCCTCGTAACCCATCTTTTGGGGGAAGAGAAACGTTAGCACAATTTGTACGTTTTCGGCAAATACATGGTAAGTATTTAATTTAGCGTAATGGTTGTTAAAAGATG